CCCACGAGCTGCTGGCCAGAGTTGGACAGAGCTGCCTGAGCGTGTTTAGTGCCCAAACAGGAGATGTAGAGGCCGTGTGAATCCTTTGCAGAAATCCACATTCCACAAGCACATGGATGGGGAGGAAGTCCTTTTCCTCCGGGGCTCTCCGGCTTTTTCGGAGAGCCATTGGGCCTGCACTCTCTTCATACGGTAAGCCCACCACAACGTGACAACTAGTACGGAGCTGTGCTGCGATAGAGAGCGCTCCTTTTCCTTATTTTTAGTGCGAGGTGAGTGCCCCCAAAAACTTGGAAAATAAATTGAAAACTTAAAACTCGTCCTGATGCGTTAGTTATCTTACTCTAAGTGAAGTCGCTCAACAAATGTTAGGAATGTATTGCGTTTGGGATGTTACCTTGCGGCTCCGACTGTAAACGAATTCCCAAAATCTGCTGAGCCAGCTTCCGGGGAAAAAAAAGAGAGTGAGAATGATGAAACGGCAGGTAGCTGCGGTTTATATACAGGGAGGCGGGACTCCCTGATCGCTGCAGCGATTGGTCTGCCATAGTTGGCAGCTGTGGTGTTATTGGTGCTTCCGCGATCGGTCACAGCTGAGGCATTCCCATAGTGAAAATAGTGAGATACCGAACGAATGTTAGAAAGAAAACTCTTGGAATTCTTTTTATGATGTCATACTGAGCTGAGAACAGGAGATTCTAACACCGATAAAACAATAATAAAAACAAGTATCTAATGATAAATTATCAAAGCATACTCATGTATTAAAAATAAATTTTTTATTTCTCATTTCTGTTTTGTTCATTAACATTTCTATGTATTTTATTGTATTATCACCACAACGTGACAACTAGTACGGAGCTGTGCTGCGATAGAGAGCGCTCCTTTTCCTTATTTTTAGTGCGAGGTGAGTGCCCCCAAAAACTTGGAAAATAAATTGAAAACTTAAAACTCGTCCTGATGCGTTAGTTATCTTACTCTAAGTGAAGTCGCTCAACAAATGTTAGGAATGTATTGCGTTTGGGATGTTACCTTGCGGCTCCGACTGTAAACGAATTCCCAAAATCTGCTGAGCCAGCTTCCGGGGAAAAAAAAGAGAGTGAGAATGATGAAACGGCAGGTAGCTGCGGTTTATATACAGGGAGGCGGGACTCCCTGATCGCTGCAGCGATTGGTCTGCCATAGTTGGCAGCTGTGGTGTTATTGGTGCTTCCGCGATCGGTCACAGCTGAGGCGTTCCCATAGTGAAAATAGTGAGATACCGAACGAATGTTAGAAAGAAAACTCTTGGAATTCTTTTTATGATGTCATACTGAGCTGAGAACAGGAGATTCTAACACCGATAAAACAATAATAAAAACAAGTATCTAATGATAAATTATCAAAGCATACTCGTGTATTAAAAATAAATTTTTTATTTCTCATTTCTGTTTTGTTCATTAACATTTCTATGTATTTTATTGTATTATTATAATTAAATTTTTTTAATTAGTATTCAATTAGAAAAATGCAAAAAAAAATCACTAGTGAACTTTTAAACCCCACTGTATATAGTTTTCAGAACAGTGTTAAATATGAAGTAAAGAAAGAACAAAACAAGACTATTACCAATAAAAATTTTACCATTTTGTTCTTTTTATTGTAAACATTTTGCACAAGAAGTTTCACATTTTATAAACACAGATGATGGTATATTAGCAAGTACATTTGACACTTTGTTGCCAGGTAAAGTTTCACTTATGTGTGGCTGCATGTTGCTTATGGCCATGTAGTGGGTCAGTCAGTTTTTTGTAGTGTGCTGATCACTGGTGTGTGTGTGCGGTTGATTGTTCTCGCAGCTTAATGTCCCCCTGTCCTCTTCAAACTGTGGAAGGCAGTAAAAATTATACAAACGTCTTGCTAAATCATCTGCCTCCTCCACCCCTTCACAGCTCTTCTGCCAGCTCTGGGGAATGGAGTCAATGCCATAATGTGCCCCTGCGATTGCCCCTGCCATGCAAGCAATGGTGTCAGTGTCACCACCCAGAGCCAAGCTGTAGGATATTGTCCTCTCCAGTCCTCCGAATCGCTCTGGCAGCCCGTCCCGGGGCTCCAAACAATGCAGCACGCAGAAGATAGCGGTGGGCACAGACTGTAAGGCAGCGATGCCATTCCCTAATACAAAGAAAGAGTGTCAACTTCAAGAAAAACAGCAGAATGCTTTATGAATGATCAGATCAATGCTAATCAAGAGTAATCGATACTAACCCAGTTCAGATATGACCTCCTCAATGCTCACACTGTTTCTGTCCATAAGTTCTTTCACTCTGTGCAATCGTGAGCAATATGGGAACTCTGATAAATTGAGTCTGTGGAATAAAACACAGTGGCTCGAAATCCATAGACAGTACTATAATAACTGTTCTTAAATGGTCTGTTCACTCAAAAATAAAAATCTGTCTTAATTTACTGCTTCAAATCTGTTTTATCTTCTGTGGAACTCAACAGAAGATATTTTGTATAATATATTTTTTTGTTCATAAAATGAGTCATTTGGACAGTGTATTTTTGTATTATTTATATACCATTATAGTATTTATTAATATTTTTAATACATTTTGATATGTTCAGGTTTCATTTTAATTTTAGTTTAGGTTTTGGTCATTTTGTTATGTGCTTTATTATTATTATTATTATTATTTTAATTTAGCTTTATTTTTTAACTATTTTCTTATTTTCATGTAGCTTTATTTTAAAAATCAAAAATAACTTTTATTAGTTTTAATAGTTTGAGTTAATGATAACAACATTGCATGGACAACAAAACAAAACTCTTCATGTTCTACTGAAGAAAGTAAGTCATTCAGGTTTGGAACGACATGAGGGAAAGTAAATGATGACATACTTTTAATTTTTGAGTAAACTTTCCCTTTTTTGTTATTTCCATGGGTTCACTTACGCTTTAGCATCAAGCTGGGCCTTTTCATCTTTTTCCATCTCTTCCATTTCTGATATCAGTTTGTTGATGAATTCTTTTGGCAGAGCCAAAGCGCCTTGGAGAGACAGATGGACAGCAAGGGCCTGCAACGCTGCCCCATTGTAACCCAAAGAGCATGAGTGTGTTAACATTGCGCCAAGCCTTGAGTACTGCCAAAAGCAAATGGAAGGACAGAATGTTAGCCTGGGACAGTCCAAATTAGCCTTTCAAATTAAGCATTTAACAATGGTTCTCAACCTTTTTGACTCGAAGGTCCCCCCCACTCTCGAGCACAATATTCGAACCCCCCCCTTCCAACCCATATGCACCAACCCGTATTTTCAACACTGCCTATGTAATTATGACAAAGCTTGTTTTCAAAAATTTTCATTAACAGAAACTGGGAATACTTATATATTAAATTACCCACGATTAATTTTGTGTTTCAAGAACTGCATGTTCTTCAGTAAAAACAACAATTATTGAGAAAAAAAAAGATTCACTTTACATGTGCTTTTAGCATTCTTATTTAGATTTGAGTTCATTATTAAGTTAATATATTTATAATAATTGATTAATTTAAATATGTTTAAGCCATCTTAAGGCCCCCAGGTTGAGAACATATGATATGAATCTTCATTATATAAAGTCTAAAGCTTTTGCTGGCAGCACTTCAGTCTTTTTATGACCAATTCAAAATGTCAAAAATGCTTTAAGTCAAGAATGCTTGAAGTCTACTAGCTTAGATTCGACAATCAGATGACCGTTTACCTTGCAGACATCAGCGCGACTTTTGAAGGCCAGGGCAAAGGGTGCTGCTCTCATGGCACCTCCATTCCCGAAAGAACCGCGGCCGCCAAACTGAGCCTGTGCCGGCTGGAAGACGTCCTTCAGATGGGGCGACGCAAGCTTCCGCAGTACCTGTACGACACCTGAGCCGTAACCTCGCCCCGGAGCAAGGTTATACTCCTTTGCAAATCTGGAATCAAGTAAGATGATCAGGAAAATCAAACACTTGCTTAAAAGGACTCTTTTAGCCATTTCCAATGATAACATACCTTCGAGCCATGTCTCGTTCATCAAACGCCATCCTGGTGAGGAGTGAATCTGCAACGCATCGCATCATGGCTGTGTCATCACTGTACTGAAGAATTCCTGGGGAAAAAATGAGTAAGATGTGTAATTAAGAAACAATTAGATTCACAGTCAAAAATGTTTAATGAAAATAAATCTGTGGTATTTTTGTGTTCTTTTTTTTCTATAGCAAAAAAAAAATGGTGCATAATTTAAACGTGAATATTGCCTGGTACCATGAAAATATTAAAGATAAATATTATTGACACAAAATATAGTATATTTATGTCACCAAAACGTTACCCCGAAGGTTCACAATTGTGACCCCTAAATGAGGAATACCAAAGAGTTTAGGACATGCAAAAGCTTGATATTAAATATGTTCAATGTATAATATAATCGTAAAATACGGAAATACTCACCATCGCCCCGTGTTTCATCCTCCAGAGCGCTGAGATGCTGAAGGACTCGATCTAGAGGTACATCCACCGCGCCTTCAAACTCACCGCCGATACAGTCGCCCAACACCGAACCGACCAGAGCGCCGCGGAAGCGGGACAACACACCGGGCGCTGCTATACGCGCCGCAGCCGACATTTCTCTCGCTTAGTGTAAACACAAGCTGCACGCGAGAAATCGATTCAGACGGTCCTCGTGTGATTCTAGCACAGTGACACCTGGGGTTTGTTACGCTGGAGGACTGTTGTCACTCTTACCGCATCACGATTCGTCAAACTATCCGCGAATATTATAATTTCGACTGATTCTCTAGAATGACTATACCTAACTTTGCAGAAACGCTTGGTTCTTTTTTTATTTAATGCATTTAGTTCGTTATTTAAGGACAGAATCGCTGCGCAGACCGCTATGGCGCGCTGCTGTTGAAGTAAGTGACCTACGTTTCCACGCCTGCGGATTCAACAAATTCTAAATTCAGAAATTATTTAAATCATGCATTTAAGACCATCATGGACAATTTATATATACTTTGTAGTTTGGTTATAACTGATGTACAGTGCCGAATTGTTCTTCTTTGTGGGTATTTGTGAATCTGCGGACCTGAGAATGGAGCACAAACATAGGAAGTGGAATTGCGCGTCACGCTACTCTTTCTATGATCTGTATGTCATACGTTTATTCTTCGGGTTAACGATGAGAACGTGCGAATATATGCTTATATTTATGATATCTACGCTTATAATACGTTTGCGTAGCTGTGCTAGTGTTCAAGAGCGAAAGAGGCGGTAGATTGAAATAACGACGACGTTTTGTTCAAATCAGACGGGTCGAGGACATCTCATTCAAGAACGATAAGTAAATACTGGACGCTTTGAAAAACACAAGTCACGCAGCAACACAGTCAGTGTAGCTTTTATATTAGCATAACAAAGCAACCAAGCTAAGTAATTACTGAGAGTTTATTGTTTTGTATATTTTGAGAGTACATTTAATGTCTCCAACAGTGGACCAAGGGGCCCCTAAGTGTACACGGCGACCTTTTAAAAATCATATTTTAAACTTTTTGTTTTCGCTTGCAACACCTTTACGTCCTCAGAGAAACTTTGCTGATGGAAAAATACATACATTTCGACCGAAAGTTTCTCGGGGGAACGCAGAAGTGTTGTGGGCCAACGCTAAACCATTGACATCTTTTATTCCCTTCCTATATTTGTAACTATTATATTATGTCACTATTTCCCCTTAGGGGCTCCTAGGACCTATAAATAAGAAGTTGTACTCTTTTATCTTTAATTAAAAAAAAATAATCAAGCCCTTACACATGAAAATGGCTATAGCTGAAGAAACACACAATATTTTTTAGTCTTCATTGTTTGTTAATTGCCGTCAGGTCTGGAAACGCGCTTGTTATGAATCCCTGGGACCCCATTACTTACACGGTGACACCTGCTGCTAAGATTTTAGCTAGATGTGTAACAGCAGGCACCATGACACAGGTAAACTAAAACATGGTTCATTTTGAGACAGAGTTTTAAACTGTAATGGTGGATATTGTCAAGCATTTGTGTTATGGATCTTATAGGAGGAGCTAGATGCTCTCCCACAGGATTCAGAAGTCTTTTCCACATCTTTACTTGAAGCTGAGCAGCTGAACAGAATTAGACATGATCTCGATAAGGTTGAAAACAAACTTAATATTTTTTTATTTCACCACTTAATATATCTTAATATCTTTCTGATTTACAAGGCTTAAAGGCAATGTTCACCCAAAAATTCAAATTCTGTCATCATTTACTCACCCTCAAGTTGTTACAAACCTGTACGAGTTTTTTTCTTCTGTTGAACACAAAAGAAAATATTTTGAAGAATGTTGATAACCAAACAGTTGACGGTAGAGATTGACATCTATAGTATGGGAAAAAATATTACGAAAGTCAGTGGCTACCGTCAACTTGAGGGTTAGGAAATAATGAAAGAATTTTCATTTTTGGGTGAACTATCCCTTGACATGATTTTCTTTTTTGTCATCCACTCACTTAAGACTAATTTAGATTTAGAGCTGCTGAAGCTGGAAAGAGACGGTGCAGACGTCACTCACACTCATTATCTCAGTAAGTGTTGCAAATGGAATCATGCACATTTGGTGTACACAATTTGTATACTAGAAGAGTGTAATTTTCCTAATGACTGTTTTGTTGTAAGGTCAAAGGTTTGCTTCCTTGCAACAGTTCACTTCCCACCTTCAGGAAGTGTTGCGAGAACAGACAGTCCTACGAGAGAGACTCACAAAACCACTGTGTCAGCAGAACCTGCCCATTCAGGCTGATCTTCACAGGTCTGATGCATTTAATGTGCCACTCAAAGAAAGTGGTTTTCGTTCAATATTTTAAATTGTATATTTGTATTGAATTAATTGCTAACAGTGTTGATTACTGTTTATGACCTTGTGTACAGATATGTGGTAGAGCTCATGGGGATGGTGGTGGAGTTCATTCAGAACTTGGAAGTGAAAATTAAGATGGTTCAAGCTATTCCAACCACTGACAGTTATCTGAGTAATTTGGTAATTGTATATGTATTTACAGCATTTTTTTTTTTTGATTAAACATCAAGAATGTGCTTGTTAGAACCAAAAATATATAGACCTGTGGTGGTTAAATGTTCATATAAATATGTGATATGCTTTGAAATCAGTGTCTATATGTGATTTACCTTTATTCTAGCAAACCTGTCAAGTTTATAATGTGAATGCATATTCTAACTGTTCTTTCTGAACTCCTCTCCATCAGAACAATGCCAGAACTCAACTGCTGGCTCAGGTCACTGAAGTTGAGAACCTGTACAAGCAAGTTCTTAAGCAACGAGACCATCTACAGACCAACATTAAAGACATGTCCATTTGATAAAGAATTTCAGAAAATTCAAATATAATGGCACCTACCATTTGGTCAGGATACTAGTGGATATTAAATTAATAAAAAAATAACTAATCTTCACCTTGTACCTACTGGTTGTTAACAGGCATCTTTAGAGAAAACGGATTCGATTTGTTTTAATTCATGGATTATGTATATACTGCAGCGATATGTAAATATTGAGACATGCTTCATTTTATGTGAGTTTTTATCTTTTGTCATTTTATGTTAAATAATAATAAATAAATGTTCCACATTTGAAACCAATATCTCAGGGTTTCATTGCTTGTAACCAGCATTATGTATTTTATGATCTGTGCACTACATATACTTTCCTTTTGCTGATACCTTAATATACCATCAGTGTAAAATAAGTAGTCAATAGCTGATGTATCAAAGCAATTTGGTCATTACTTGCCGGCTTGCTTGCTTGTCTGCGACTGAAGTGGATGATTTTTAGGTGGAACAACTTAAAAGATTTGATTCTGGCTTTATAATATTTGATATAGCAGGACAACCATAAATTCAGCACAATAATTTTTGCTCTTGCTGCTTTCCCCTCTCTTCCATTAAGAGCACTTTCTGTGTAATGATGTGTTTTGTACACAACAGCTCCACCTACAGAACAAGAGATAAAGAGTAGTTAGTGTGATGTTAGACATTCATTTCTAGAGCAGTGGGTTTCAACCAGGGGGCCACAGGATGACTTCAAAGTATTTAAATGAATAAATTATTATTAATATATTAAAATAATCTAACTCTAAATTTAAATGCTAAAAAAACAAGATTAGGTTAAGCTGAAAATTTGTTTGAAATTTTTGGAATCAAACTCAGTTGTGGTTAATTAATTTGATTATTGTGCTGGGAAATAGGGGGCCTTTCAAAAAGGTTGAGAACTGATGTTCTAGATCTAGAATGAAATGCATTGAATAAACCAGCAGGTTCAGTGCTTGAAGCCATGGTAACACACTGAAGTGCACTAACCTGGAGCTTTATCTCATGAATCTTGCTTTCGTTTCCCTTCAGACTGTATCCATGCTTTTTCAGAAGACTTTCAATGTGCCTTAGTAAGAAATATTAAAGTACGTTCAGAAAACTATTTTACTTATAGTAATGATTGTGGCCTAATCTAAGTACTCACCTCTGCACGTCAGCGTTGGGTTCCAGTGCATAACGCTCCTGTAGAAAATGCTGTAATTCTGGGCCCTTTGCATCTAAAGTGCTCAGGGCCTTACAGGCAGCAATGCGCACACTGGGCTCCTCCTCATGGTGTACAGCCCACATCAGCAACTCCTGGAGAGCTGGGTTCATCCAACCTATTTTCCCTAAAGCTTAATTTATAGAATAATAATTCCTTGAAGTAATAATAAAAATTGTAACATTCATTATTAGACACAAAATGAATGAATGAATGATGCATTTATATAGCGCTTTATTGCGTATTGCTGTACACCCAAAGCGCTTTACAATCATGCAATCATACAAAAATGGCTGCACATTAAATTATTAAAGGAAAAGCTCACCCCAAAATTTAAATTTGTTGAAAATGTACTCATCCAAGGTGTAGATGAGTTTGTTTTTTTCATCAGAAAAGATTTGGAGAAATGTAGAATTACATCACTTGCTCAAAAATGGATCCTCTGCAGTGAATGGGTGCCGTCAGAATTTAAGTTCAAAACAGCTGATAAATCACACAATAAAACAATCACAATAATCCAAAAGTAATCCACACAACTCCAGTCCAACAATAACGTTTTAGCTTTAAAACATTACTTCTTTTGAAATCATCTGTTCGTAATCCATAATAATGGTTCCTCCAGTGAAAAAGTTCCCCCTGTTGTCCTCTCACATCAAAATCCATTGCCATTTGTTTATAACTGTTTTGGATGGTTTTTGCTTGTAAATAGTGCTTGATTTGATTTCTCTCCTGATTCAGATGAGATGACGTTATGGATAGAGGACTTATATTTTAGCTGGAAGCAATGATTTGAAGTTAAAAACAGATTTGTTTACACAGCTTTTCACTTCACAAGACATTCATTGATGGACTGGAGTTGTGTGGATTACTTGTAGATTATTGTGAGGTTTTCGTCAGCTGTTTGAACTCTCATTCTGACGGCACCCATTCACTGCAGAGGATCCATTGGTAAGCAAGTGATGTAATGCTAAATTTCTCTAAATCTGTTGCGATGAAGAAACAAACTCATCTACATCTTGGATGGCCTGAGAGTGAGTACATTTTCAGCAGTTTTTCGTTTTTGGGTGAACTCTTCCTTTAAATAAATTTTCAAGCTTACCATCAATTGCTTCCACTTTCACCTCCCATAATGGACCATTCTGCATCAGGTTAATTAGCTGATCCAGGACCTGTGAACATGTTTTATGTGGTCATTCGAGTGAACCCTCAATTTCTTTTTCACAGTCTTTTAGTGTCCATATACCATCAAAGATCTATTGTGCATCTGCACAGCTGCTTTACTTCCTCACCAAATGGTCATCCATCATTAGAGATGCTGCAGTCAAACAAGCTTGTTTGCGCACAGCCACAAAGTCATCATTAAAGCACCGCAGGAATGTAGGCAGTAGCTTGCGTGTCATTATATTGAGCTGACCAATGAAGATCAGCGCTTCCACCCGCCAAGCAGTTGGACCCTCCTCCAGCTTCGCACTGTGGAGATATTGCATGTTAAGAAATAACTGAATCCAAACTTTCTGATGTGTCTGTTGGGTAGAGATAGTCACCTCAGCTCACTGTGCATCTCTCTGGCTGCATCCATTTTACTCAGAGCCAGCGCTGCAGCGTGACAAACAGCACAGCTCCAGTCGTTCCACATCATATATATCAGTTTGTTGCAAAGATCCTGCATGAAAAGCAATTCTAGTATTTTCTACCATCATTAGAGAAATTAGATAGGTAGAGAGCTGTTTGAAATGTGCAAAAGAATTACATTGTGATACCTTGTTTATTGGACTTCTGAGCTGTGCAATGCTAGTACAGGCCTGAACTCGTGTTCTCCAGTTAGCGCTGTTTAACTCTTCTGCCAGAAGAGAGCGCACTAGTGTCTGGATGGGAAACACCATGCAAAAGTTTGAGTATAAAGATTTTTTTTTTTTAAAGAAAATAATACTTTTATTCTGTCAGGACCACTATCGTCAAAGATGACTGACACTTAGCATATATATGAATGCTTAGATAGGTGTCGTATTCCTATAGGTAGATGGGGATCAGCTGAGTCAGCTGATGCGAGCTTGACTAACGTGACCTGCCAGAACTAACGCTTATGCTTGATTTCAGCAAGGATGCATTAAATTGATCAAAAGTTACACTAAAACCATTTATAATGTCATAAAATTTTTCTATTGCAAATAAATGCTGTTCTTTTGAACTTTCTATTTATCAAAGAATTCTCAAAAAATCATGGTTTCCACAAAAATATTAAGTGGCAACACTGATAAGAAATTCAGCAAATCAACATACTAGATCAGTGGTTCTCAATTCCAGCATATGGTCCTGGTCTGCATATCTGCAGTGTTCTTTGCTCCCTACTCCCTGAGCACGGGAAATTCGTTGAAGTTTACTTCATTTCGGAACATTCATTCAGGGATCTGCACTACTGCAGCGTCTTCACAGACAGATGAAACTTACTAGAGAAGTGTGACGTAATATACCTCTGTAAATAAATACAATTTATAATCACGTCTCGCACACTTTAATGTCCTTTGAATGGAACATATACGGTCCCTTCAAACTGGAATCATGGCGGAATATCCTGTCATGTCCACTTCGCAGGGCACTTATGGTCGAATAGAACAAACGTCTGAAGTGATAAGAGGTACATACAAAATGTGCAGAGCGGTGGTACATGAGCACTGGAATTGAGAACCACTGTACTAGACTGATTTCTGAAGGATCATGTGACTGGAGTATCCATCACAGCAATAAATTACATTTTTAAATATATTAAAATAAAAAACGTTATTTTAAATTGTAACTATTTCACAATATTGCACTTTTACTGTGTTTTTGATTAAATTAATGCATCCTTGGTGAGCATAAGAGACTTCTTTCAAAAATAAAATCTTACAAACCCCAAACCTTTAAAATGTGGAGTATGAAAATGTATTTTATGTGAATTTCATAGTTTACCTAGTGCATGCATAAATCATTTTTCTTTTACTCAAAAACCACTGAGAGAGTCACTCACAGTCTTGCTGCTAATGTTGGAGAGTAGCATCATAGACTGCTCGTGATCTGAAGGAGCGTCTCTGAGAAAGTGCTGTGACAAGAGTCTCTGTATGACAGCTTGACTCGTATCCCCGTCTATCGCCAAGCACTGTGCCGCCACCCAGCTGTCTGCACCTGTGCCAGAAGGGTCTGAGTCATAATACATGATGGTCATTTCGAGTCAACAGTAGAAAAGACTGCTTTACCTGTGACATTAATGTTTGTTGTGATGTTAATTAAGCTTATTTTAATTGACATTTTTAGTTTCAGGCATTGGTATCCTTCCACAGACCTTGCTTCAAAGTGCTTTGTAGTATGTCTCTGGTGCGTGCATTAGGTGTCCTCATGGCATACTGGCACACTGCAGCAGCCATCTGAACTCTCTTCACTGGGTCATCAAGCGCCAAGACAATGAGAGCCTGCAGCTCCTGAGGATCTGCCTTCAATTGGCATCTCTTACCATGTTGACCTGAGCAAAGAAGGAATTAGCTGTCACTTTTTGTGTAATATTCTATTCTATTCTATTATTAATTTAATTTAATTAATGCTTTAAAAGGGTTAGCATTATATTAAATTATATTTTATTATATTATATATGCATTAATTTGGTCAGCGATACAGTAAACACAGTAATATTGGGAAATATTTTACAATTTAAAATTGTTTTCTATTTGAATTTTCAGAAGCCATTTCTTCAGTGTCACATGATCCGTTAGAAATCATTATAATATGCTGATTTGGTGCTAAAGACATTTCTTATTATTATCAATGTTGAAAGCAGTTGTGATGCATAATATTTTTGTGGAAACTTTTGATGAAATGAAAGCAAAATGCAACATTTTTATTAGTGTAAAACTCTTTGCTGTTGTTACTTTTGATTAATATAATGCATCATTGTTGAATAAAAGTATTAATTCTTACTGACCCCAAATTTTTGAATGGTATATTGCATATTATTATTTATTTTGTATGCACTGAAAAATGTTTTTAGCTGAGAGATTAACCTGTTTTGCCAGGGTCAAGCTCTTCTTGTGGTCCATTAACTGCTCCCAAAGCACAAGTTATGATGGCCTCCAGCCGCACTGGGTAATTAGGGTCACTAAGAGCTCTTTTTAGGCCCTCGATGGTCACTCTCTGCAAGGGCAACTCTAGATGAAACAAAATAATGATTTTCCAAAAGGGGTTTCCATGTGAGAAATCTATGCAAAAACAATAAAATGTATGCAGGTATCCAAGGTGCTTTCCTGCAAATAACACACACTGGATAATGTGGATATCTATAATTCTGCTTCACAGCTAACAAATCTCAGCAATGTCTTTTATAAGTGTATTACTTAAAGGTGCAATAGGTGATTGTCTTCAGAAACATTGTTATGCTGGTTGAAAGTCTCTTCACATCCCGATAGCAATCAGTAAGTTAAGTGGTCTAAATGTATTTGTCTGTATTTATATATTCTGTGGAAGGCGTAGGATCAAGAAATGATCGTCCGAGCGTTTTAATATGCTTTCCTACCTGCCTGTCAACGTATGTATTAGCATACCTCTGCGCACCCTGTTCGAGCAGACAGGATACGTCATCAGAGCGTTTACGCACGCTGTACAGACTGCAGACAGAGCGAGGATGGCAGGCAAACATCAACTACCCGATGTTCCTTCCTGGTATTGTAGTACTTTTAAAGATTTCTCACCAGTGAATGACACATGATGTAGCCCAGCGGTTAATCCAGTCCTCGCGCAAGCTCGTTAGAAGTGAGCTACGTGCATGAACTGTGTTCCGATCGATATGATCCCTACAGAGTGTTCATTGCTCCCTACCCCCTGAGCCAGAGAAATCCGTTGAAGTTTACTTCACTTCGGAACATGGGCTGGAATTGGGAACTGCTGATGTAGCCTATTGTAGTAATGTTGTCGCTGGTCTGTAAGCGTAAATGCATTCAGGGGGCGTGGCTTTGGACGGCGACTGCAGGGAGGGAGGGACGTTCGCTTTCAGTGCTATCAGGCTAAAGTTAGCATTTTCCAAGATCTCCTACTGCACCTTTAATAAACTTAATTAAAGTGCAATTTCTTAATAGATTATAAATATAACCATTGATAAGATATGCAGAGGTATAGCACACAGAGCTGAGAAAGGAAACACCTACTGATGTTGCAGGCATTCCTCCATTGATCAACTGCATAACGAAGTGTGGAAAGTTCAGCCACAGACTGTTTGGGCATCTCAGGATCCTGTCCGCTGAAGTCAGGAGGTCTGAGACCCTGCTTGAGGGCAGAGTCAATTTTGGTAGGCTGATCCATCCATCTCTGCTCCGCTTTTACAATTCTACCAGTTCCTGCAAAAGCAAATGGATCCAGAAACATAAATATTTGAGCAACATATGAACCTTTCAACTTTCCATGTCACATTTTAACACCAATACTGTACTTTCAACTGTAAGTAAACAGTCACATTCAAGATTCATATGTAAGTCTACCTGAGAAGATCTCCTGTTCAGAGACGTTCTTTGTGACATGACTGCCGGCACTTGGATTCAAGATATCCTGTAGCCGAGGGGCCTGTGGGATCTCAATGTGCTTGGTGGTCACAGTGGTTGCTGTCTTATTTAAGCGGTTCTGCACATCTGTGCTTACTGGAGAGAGCACATAACCAGGTATCCTGTTAGATAAGGACAGACACCACAAAAACAAAACTATGTGAAATACAGTGTGGCTTCGGCCTTGGGACTAAGTAAGTGAATGCATTAAAGGGATAGTCCACAATGAAAATTCTCTCATCATTTACTCACACACATGTTGTTACAAACCTGTGCATTTTTTTTCTACTTTTTAAAATTTTTTGGTGGACTGTCCCATTAAGGGTGCCGTATTTAGAAAACCATTTTGATGAAAGTAATAGTACTACCTGTGTTGTTTTCTCAGTTGTAATAGTTGACTCTTATTTTGTGCAAACTCCTGCCACCTGCTGCTTTGGGCTTCCCAGTCCTCTGTAGAGGACTCCTTCAAATAGGTGTGCACATTCAACATTGAACGGTCTTGTTATTCTAAACGCATCATACACCTTGCTTTGATCACTAAGACTTATGAAAGGTACCTTATTGTTCACTGCAGGAGCCTGTACTGAAATTCTGCCCTCTTCTTGGGTTAAACAGTTGATGTTGCAGGGTATTTCATTGTTCTCATGCCTCTTTATTTTCTTTAATTTGGTACCTGGTGCTAAGGGGCCCGTGGCATGGAAAAGCCAGCTAAAGTCAGCTTTTCTGTATGAAATGGCCCCCATCTCGTCCATAACTTCATCGGAGAAAGAAAGGATCTGGCTTGCATTATTCAGAAGCTGTTTGTACAGACGGTCCTCTCTGAGCTTGCTGTGGTGCTCTGATCTCCATTTTGCATGCTGTAAATTCATGATTCTCGGTGAGGTCTTATGGGAAATTGTCTAAAAAGGAAACGATGATCAAATATAAATTGATTATTTGATTCTTAAAAAAAAAATCCAAAGAAACCAGGATACCGTTTTACATCACAACATAAAAAGAACCCATTGAAAATGATAACAGGAAGAAAAAAAATATATATAAATATATAAAAATAAAAAAGTGCCACGCTATTATGAGAAGTCACCTACCGACACACTGCACAAATCACGTCCCCACTCAAATCTCAGCACAGAGCTCTAGTTGAAAAGTTTCAAAGCAGTTTATATCAAACAAGAAAAGAAAAGCAGGTCGCTGACAAAGGTAAAGTTACTACAGCTCTGGCAGCTCTGAAATGTTGGCATAGCAACAAGACGCGCTTGTTTGGCTGCAGAGCGACTGCCGTGGCTGCCTGACGCGAACTCGTCAGGAGTGGACATTTGATTCATCCCAGTGAGTCAAACATTTTGAATCCGTTCACCAAAAAGATTCATTCACTAATTATTAAGGGCCAGTAGGTGGCGACACGTTTATATGTTTTCATGTGCCATGTGAATACGTCATTGCATGATGCATTCGCTTTGTTAAAAACAACAGACTTAATTATGGAAGCCCGTTTCCGCCACTGAATAAAGGAAAAGAGGCACATTACAAATAGCCTACATCGTTGAAGCCTGTTGTAAATGACCATTAAATCCCCAATTCAAGGCGTTCTGTCTATATAAGCTGTGAATGCTCCGCATACCCAGGCCATTTGAGAGAATAAGTTAACGGGATAATTAATATAAACATGATTAAGTTGATCCCTTGTCATTTGAAATGTAACTTAAAGCTTAAAGAGTTAGGAATAAGTACGTACAATGATTTATTTGCAAAACAGCAGCAATTTTCTTTAAAGGGGTCATATGATGCGACTTTAAACAATGGAGCGCGCACTGCTGAACAAACTAAGTAATTACACTATTTCAAGCATTTTATCTGCGTTATATGTTCTGTAAAAAAAAAAATTCATATCGGCGGCATATTCGCCGATACCGATATATCAGCGACAGGCCGATAATATCGACAAAACGATATATCGGTCGGGCTCTAATTATTACTATTAAACAATTGCAAATAGCAGATAACTTAATTCCTGTAACGTGTGTACTGCTAGGCATCTTTGGTTTCCTCTTTTTGTGTAATTTAAATGGTAAATTGTGCCTTTTTATCGTTTGAGTCACTTATCAAAAGTTGCTAAAAGCTGCCAAATACATTTTTTAAAATAGCTAAATTTGTTGCTTGGTGCTTTTGGAAGAAAAAGTTGCTAGGGTAGTCTGAAAAGTTGCTAAATTTAGCAACAAAATTGCTAAGTTGGCAACACTGATCACAGTATGGCAAGGGGCGTAACATTTCCGTCACACGCTTGAGGTATTCGGCCAATCACAACGCACTGGATAGCTGGCCAATCACAGCACACCTCGCTTTTCATGAGCTTTGTAAAAATCGTTTCAGAAAGGCGGGGCATTGAGTACAGTATGTGGAAAATAATGTGTTTTTTGAAGCTTAAACCACATAAACACATTTCATTACACCAAATAATGTTCTTTTTAGCAACATCATATGACCCCTTTAAATCTACCCGTTCTAGGCGAGCGGATTCTCCGCAGCTTTCTGGCCTCTGCTCTGTTGCTATGACTCGTCAGGATTACAGCGTGTTCTCAGTGATTTGCTGGTCTGCAGCAGATTTAATGCGCGAGGTCAACTGTTCGCGAAGCGCTCGCCCAAGCGAAAAAAAAGTGTTGTTGCTGTCAGAACTCGATTACCGAAAATCACATTGTGTTTGATGCAAAACCAACTCGACTAAATCAAAAGAAAAAAAATACTAACTGTATATTTTTATTTTCTCAAACAAAGCAAATTTTAAAAGTCCACTGAAAACATATCTTCTTACATTTTTGGTCATAGACAACGTATGTTGAAGATATACGTTATTGTTAACATTATTGCCTAAGCGGCAAATTAAAACAAACAAACAAAAAACCCGTGGCCTAGGCCTACATACAATTTTAATAATAACAAACATCATTGCGTATGCTCGTGTCGCTTACAGTTAAAGTTCTTCTCAGGTTTTGTTGTTGTTTGCAAGGTTGCAACGTTATTTTGCATGGTCTGTTATTGGAGTAGTGTCACCCGGGTGGGAGTTTTAACTCCCATTCACTGGGAATAAAAAAACAATTTAGCTGATGCAGAGAGACATATAGACCGGGGGAATCCCCCCATCTCCCCACCCTCTGATTAGGTATCATAACATAACTACGTGTAAACCTTATTTAGGCTTTTACTTGGAAAACCAGCTATATTTTTCTTGCATTCGAATAATGGATAAACTTGAAACGATAGAAGAAAGATTGGAAATAGATTTTGATTTACAAATAAGGTAGGAAATGTGCATACTTTTAAATCGACACTTGCTATGGTGTTTCTGAGCTATTTGTCATCTGTGATCCCTTTTTTGAGTGTCTTAAAAGCCGATGTGAGGTTGGGGGGTGGGGGGGGGGTCTTATTCCGCATTCCCGATTAAAAAAGTCACTGCTCGCCACTGATATATATACAGTATATATTCATAAATATAACTTATGTTACGTAATTTTAATTTATTTAATCTATTTGTTTCTTTAAAAACTATCTCAGATTAGTAACAAAGGCAAAATGGCAGCTATTGAATTTATTTTCTCTCTTAATTATGTCCTTTGTGCAAGTTATTGGTCATAACCCTTTCCTATGTTCATAAATAGTATGAAGAGCTGGTTCTATTTATTGATAATTCCAATCCAGCCCTTTAGTTGAAATCAAAATGTAAACAAAGCCACATTTCTAATTTTGCACATGTTAGTTAGAGCAAGACAAATTCATGAGAATACACTTCATCAGTTCGGCATCAAGCAACCGCCATCAAGTCCACTTTCTACATAGTGCAAATAATAATGTTTATTAAACTTTTTCTATCGCTGAGTTAGTCAGCTTGACCATTTCAAGCCACTTTAAACCGAAGTCTCCACACAACAGGAGCCTCTGCGAACATAATATCTCCTCACCTCAGAGGAGTCTCCACAGCCTTCAGGCCTATGTACAATAAGGACTGGGAAGAAGCGGGCATCTTGGTAGTTTGGCGGGCTGTCATTAAGTGCAAGCTGACTGGTGTAAGACCTGCAGCACTGCTCATCAGGGCAGCAGCGCTCTGTAAGTGTACTACTGCGGCTCCTCCACAGTCCCATGGTGCGCCTGGAGCCGTACATACGGCACAGCGAGAAGTGTGAGGTGTCCAGGGACAAACGGGAGTGGAAGGTGTGATGAGAGAAGATGGAGGAACAGCTAGAGCTGATAGTCGGCCGTCTTCGTCCGCCTTGCTGTTGGCAACAGTGCTCACAATTCTGCACCAATGTCCCGTAGCTCTGCGCCGAGCAGCTGTCCAACAGCAAGCGGTTGGAGGAAATGCTGTCTCTGTGGTTTGACCCAGAAGTCCCCAGGTTCATTAGCATGGCCTCCGAGTAGCTTGGTATAAGCTGGCGGTTTGAGCGAATGTGCCATTCCAGCTCCGTACTGTCAACGGTTTCTGCTCTCGGAAGGCCATAGCGAATGTTCCTCGTGGTGGCATCGGCCTCTGGAGACGGGCTGTTGTTGCTATACTCTAGTCCGAAGAGTTTCTCGACTTGGTAGTGCACAAATGCCGTCCGGTACTCGATCAGCACTCGCAGTGGCCAGGAGAGCATGAGGAGAGCCGCCAACCAGAAGGTGATCCGCGAGGTGTACCATGGCAATTGGTCGGGATCCACATAAGTGATGAAGTGCTCTTTAAAGTCGACGTTCTTCAGCAGCATGCCTTCGCGGGCTTCCATGTAGTCATCCAGTCCCTCGATTTCCGAGAAGAACCTGGCTCGTTGGTTGAGGTAAGCATTTTCAGGTTCTGCTCCTGTGAAACTGAAGCACTTGGAGAAATGTAACCGTGTCGCTGCGTGAGCCTCCAGCCCGCGCAAGTTGCGTGAGATGTCTCTCATTCCGCAGTGGCTGTAGTCGAACTCGCCCTCTACTACATGTGTGTTAACACGCTCGTGATAAGCCTGCGTGGTCGTGTAGGCATCTCCATTCCGGTAACGCGTCACTTGTCGAGTCCTGCGTACGAAATGGTAACTGATGGCTTTCCACCAGACGCACGGTCGGGATTGACGCATGCGCAGAACCCTTTCGTACACGCTCTCAACATTGGCCTTGCACTGTAGTTCACTGCGGGCACGACAGTGCCAGCACTCCATAAGGTAAACGGTGTAGAGCATGAGCAGGAAGGCCAAGGGGATGTACACATAACCGTCAGAGCAAGGGCTGTCGTGGTATATCATGGCACGACCTCCTCCTCTAAGAGAGTTCATTGAGGCTGTGAGGGAAGTACTGGAGGAATCAAAGCTCAGCTTGGTGACCTGGGTGAGCTGACACCAGGCCACGGCACCCAGGCAGCTGTACATGAGCAGTGAAAGGAGAAGGCACCGCCAGTGCATCTCTCGGCACATAGAGGCACTCAGGGACTGCTTTATTGGCCATTGCTACAAGGAATAATGAGAACGAGAAATAGTAATCAGCATATTGTAAGGCACACAGGCTTGCTGTGAATGTTGTGAATAAGAAAATGAGGTAATGAATACAAAAACCATCAGAGATTTAGTGTCACTTATATGAGGCAATGATATTGGACAAAAGGATCAAATGTCTTCTGATCAGTGTTGTTATTGTTAACTAAAACTATTAAAACATGTTTTTTGGAAATTGACATAAAGTTGAAAATTAATACAATTAAAATGAGAAATGTTGCCTGGCCAACTAACTGAAATAAGTTTAAGTGGTAAAATGACTAAAACTTAAATAAAAATGAATTAAAGCTAAACAGAGCTATAAAAACCAAACAAATTACTAAAACTTAAAATTACTAAAAATAAAATTTTAACTGAAAATACAAAAATAAAAGCTAATTTAAAATATGAATAAATACTATGACATATATATAGAAATAAGTCGGCCGTCTTCGTCCGCCTTGCTGTTGGCAACAGTGCTCACAATTCTGCACCAATGTCCCGTAGCTCTGCGCCGAGCAGCTGTCCAACAGCAAGCGGTTGGAGGAAATGCTGTCTCTGTGGTTTGACCCAGAAGTCCCCAGGTTCATTAGCATGGCCTCCGAGTAGCTTGGTATAAGCTGGCGGTTTGAGCGAATGTGCCATTCCAGCTCCGTACTGTCAACGGTTTCTGCTCTCGGAAGGCCATAGCGAATGTTCCTCGTGGTGGCATCGGCCTCTGGAGACGGGCTGTTGTTGCTATACTCTAGTCCGAAGAGTTTCTCGACTTGGTAGTGCACAAATGCCGTCCGGTACTCGATCAGCACTCGCAGTGGCCAGGAGAGCATGAGGAGAGCCGCCAACCAGAAGGTGATCCGCGAGGTGTACCATGGCAATTGGTCGGGATCCACATAAGTGATGAAGTGCTCTTTAAAGTCGACGTTCTTCAGCAGCATGCCTTCGCGGGCTTCCATGTAGTCATCCAGTCCCTCGATTTCCGAGAAGAACCTGGCTCGTTGGTTGAGGTAAGCATTTTCAGGTTCTGCTCCTGTGAAACTGAAGCACTTGGAGAAATGTAACCGTGTCGCTGCGTGAGCCTCCAGCCCGCGCAAGTTGCGTGAGATGTCTCTCATTCCGCAGTGGCTGTAGTCGAACTCGCCCTCTACTACATGTGTGTTAACACGCTCGTGATAAGCCTGCGTGGTCGTGTAGGCATCTCCATTCCGGTAACGCGTCACTTGTCGAGTCCTGCGTACGAAATGGTAACTGATGGCTTTCCACCAGACGCACGGTCGGGATTGACGCATGCGCAGAACCCTTTCGTACACGCTCTCAACATTGGCCTTGCACTGTAGTTCACTGCGGGCACGACAGTGCCAGCACTCCATAAGGTAAACGGTGTAGAGCATGAGCAGGAAGGCCAAGGGGATGTACACATAACCGTCAGAGCAAGGGCTGTCGTGGTATATCATGGCACGACCTCCTCCTCTAAGAGAGTTCATTGAGGCTGTGAGGGAAGTACTGGAGGAATCAAAGCTCAGCTTGGTGACCTGGGTGAGCTGACACCAGGCCACGGCACCCAGGCAGCTGTACATGAGCAGTGAAAGGAGAAGGCACCGCCAGTGCATCTCGCGGCACATAGAGGCACTCAGGGACTGCTTTATTGGCCATTGCTACAAGGAATAATGAGAACGAGAAATAGTAATCAGCATATTGTAAGGCACACAGGCTTGCTGTGAATGTTGTGAATGAGGTAATGAGGTAATGAATACAAAAACCATCAGAGATTTAGTGTCACTTATATGAGGCAATGATATTGGACAAAAGGTCTTCTGATCTTCTGATCAGTGTTGTTATTGTTAACTAAAACTATTAAAACATGTTTTTTGGAAATTGACATAAAGTTGAAAATTAATACAATTAAAATGAGAAATGTTGCCTGGCCAACTAACTGAAATAAGTTTAAGTGGTAAAATGACTAAAACTTAAATAAAAATGAATTAAAGCTAAACAGAGCTATAAAAACCAAACAAATTACTAAAACTTAAAATTACTAAAAATAAAATTTTTACTGAAAATACAAAAATAAAAGCTAATTTAAAATATGAATAAATACTATGACATATATATATATATATATATATATATATATATATATATATATATATTACTAAAATAATACTGCCTCAGATGTCTAGTGCATCTTATGTTCCTCTTAAATATCCTATTACATTAAACCGCTTAATGTACAACTCTAAAAATAAAATACATTTAAAATAAAATAAATTTCACTTCTAAATGAAGTCTATGGACATTGATTAGAGTCTAATTCAAATAAATTAAATTAAATTAAATTTATGCATTTAGCAGACGCTTTTATCCAAAGCGACTTACAGTGCATTCAGGCTAAACATTTTTTATCAGTATGTGCAAATAAAGTGCAGACAACGCTCTGACAGTAAACCCTTAACATTAGGGATATAGATCTATGTGAGAAAGTAAGGCCTGACAAGACAGAAAATTTGTAGCAATCCTTCAGTTCAGACTTAATTACTTACAGTACATCATGGCACAAAGTCTTCAGATTATCTCTATTAAACCTAAGACAAGCACACTTGCTTCAGATAATTGACCTGTATTTAAACTGGTTAACCATTTGACCGTTTTACAGGTAATTCCATTTTTATTACGTTATTCTGCAATTCCTGCCTTCTTTTACGATTCATGAAAATCATAGAGCACTATGTATCCAGCAATGATATAAAGCAAAACATGGTGGACGTCATTGCAACTTTGTCTTAAGTCTTCTGTCAACGCCAGACAAAATCTATCAATTTTATCTATTTATTTATTTATTTTTTGTATTCAAACCCTGCAGGAGAATAGCTCAGCATTGCAACGCTTTTGTGTGCTAACTCTGGACTTGGTACACCTCTTTATAAATGCACAGAAGTTGTTCATAAGTGGAAAAGGACCTTTGCTCTTAATTCTGAACCTGGGTTTGAATCTCACTCAAGGGTACAGAGCTTCTGAACAAATTATGATTATTACAAAAAATGTCAGCTATTGCCATGAGTTCACTGAATTAAACATACTAAGAGGCTGCTTTTATTTAAAATAACTGATCAAAAATCTGAGAATTTTGTGTTTTGCGTAAAACACTGACTCCGTATCTGAGATTAGGGCTCATAATTGTATCTGCATGAGTTGAGAATGTATGGTTTTGTCCCATTCAGGTAATACCATAACTTCTGATATTTCTAAGGGTTGAAAGGCTTTTAAAGAGGGGAGAGCGAGGTGCAACATAAATAATGGAGATCCCACATGAAAGAGAATACATATGACAAGCTAACAGCCATTCAAAAGCATACTGTAGAAAAAACTGCTCTTATCCTCGCTGCTCTGGGATAAATGAAACTTTGTACGTAATATGGTTATGATAAGATGCCTAGCAGATTACAGCTGAAACTTGATAATGACTTAAGGGAGACCAAATGTGGAGCACTGATTTTGTTTGTCGGTTTAAAAAATGAAGTTTAATTTGAAGGAACTGCTCATCTGATGATACCTAGAAAAATGAAAATTCAAACAAACATTCCTTCACCAACCTACTTGAATTCTCATCAATAAAGTTTTTTTTGTTTGATTGAATTAAAGAAATTAAATGTTTTGTAAATCAAATGTAATTATTACATATATTAATTATGCTGCACAAAAGATGTTATCAATATCATGGGACATTCACAGAACTGGCAGGCCATACCAGAAGGCTTTACAAGGCAATATGCACCAATAACATTAATATCAGAGATGCGGATTGGAATCAGCATCAGTGCCAGGCTATTTAATATGATTGTGTGCTATATGAAAGGATTTATCCAAAATACAGAGTTAAACATATTTGATCTAACTCCCCTTGGTGAGGGTGATTCTCAAGCTAACAGGCATATAATCTTTTCCACAGTGGTAATTCCATAATTACGGCAGTGTATTACAGAGGTGTTGATCAATGCACAAATTGGCTGAGTGCAGTGAATATGACAACAGGTTTAGAGCTGTACCTAATGTAAAATGCAAATGCCCTTCCCAATTTAAATCTGTTTGTCCTCCTTGGAGTCTTCTCAGATGTATTGTCATTAGGGAATTTGTACATCAAGCACCACCCCAAAATGAAACCAAGTCTAAACATTTCAGTGTAGACCATACAGCCCAATTCAGATTCAAGCATTGCCTCCTATAGGTTTATTACTTAGGATCTGCAGTCAGTGATCTCTGATAACTGCAAAGAACTCAGAGTTTCATTATAGATGATTATCAATAACTTGTGCATCATGAAGTTTATGCATCATTTGGAAGCAGAGGAATGGTCAAAGGGTATTACATTTAACAATTTCTTATATAGAACAAATATAAGTGAATTTACAATAAAATTTTCTCAATCTCAGACCTACCTTTACTGTGACCAGCCAGTCAAACCACACTAAGACAATTACAGTCTACAAGGGGATAAAATGCAGAAATCCCCTCTCCTCCATGATGATGTTTCATTATAGATGATTATCAATAACTTGTGCATCATGAAGTTTATGCATCAGTTGGAAGCAGAGGAATGGTCAAAGGGTATTACATTTAACAATTTCTTATATAGAACAAATATAAGTGAATTTACAATAACATTTTCTCAATCTCAGACCTACCTTTACTGTGACCAGCCAGTCAAACCACACTAAGACAATTACAGTCTACAAGGGGATAAAATGCAGAAATCCCCTCTCCTCCATGATGACTATGGTACATTTTCACGCAGACTTTAAATAAAACCGAAAAGGCTTTTATTTTGTAATGGTTACACATAACCCGGAAATGGAGTTACGTCTGTAAACTCTACATGTGTTTAGTGTACATATTCAGCCAAATAGCTCAAAAGAGGCCCGTGGCATAAACGATCTTCCTGGATTTAAAATAAAGGAATATTTCCGTCATTACTGTGCTGATCACGGACTTGCTGATTATCTTCTGCAAGCCAACAAGAACACTGTCAGTGAAGCACAAGATGAAATGGCGATGAAATTTGAGAGCTAAATGTTGAATCGCTATTATTTCTGACACTTTGCTGTAAACCATTAAACGCCCTTGTGTTAATTGAGGAGTTTGGGATGTTGCGGCGTCCTAAGCCCACGGACAGTGAAGCGGATCTGCTCCGGGAGCAGCAGGAGCTTCTGGCGGCGGGCGGTCGGTCCACTGTCGCTGTAGTGAAGCGCCCTGATAAACGCAGAGGAGACGCTGCTGCAGCTGAGGCACATGAGCAGGGAAACCAGAGAGATGTTGTGACTATAGAAGGTAGGGCAGACATTTCTGAGCTTTCTGTCTGTTATTGAATCTCATCTTTCAACATTTTCACAAACAAATTTAGTGATGAGTTTCATTAGACCTGCTTAAATAAGATCAGGCTGATTCTTTTTTTTATAAGCATTGTACTGAAATGATTTCATCTGCACCTTCAGATCTTCCAGATGAGCTTCCCACCTTGACCCCTGCACCTCCAAAGAAGTCACGCTTCAAACAGGAGCGGGTGCATTTTGAAGATGAGGACCCAGAAGAGCGACTGGACAGACATGATACCCACATCAGTGCTGTCCTATCTAGGATCATTGTGAGTCACATATTTTACAGTCTACCTGTTGTTTGATTGAATGACAATGTAATGCCGTTCTTATTGTTCGTCTCCCTGTAGGAGAGGGACACGAGTGCAGTACCTGTGTCGCTCCCGTGTATCACAGGCACTGCTTTTCCCAAAGTCTTACATAGATCTGGAATAGAAAGTGAGGTGAGAAAATATTATACATGCACACAATCCTTCCCAGCTTGTTTGTTTGTCTGATGTTTCTGTATTTCTCACTGCACTTAGGTGCAGGAAAGAGCTATTAGAGGAAGAAAAAGTATTTTTGCACGCCAAATTGCAGCACAAAGGGCTAAGAAGGAAGATGTCCAGTCTTTAAATGGTTCAGAGTCTAGAGATCAGTCTTCTGCATCTAGACATGTGGGCTTCTTACCATTGGAGAATATGGAGACTGAGCAACCCGAGTCAGATGTTATGGGTAAGTGCTGTCACATTTCACAAAGTTTTTCATGGTTAACTTAAGCATGACATATTTTCTGATTGGGCTTCTGTTACAGACCGTGTTGGTGGCCCCGTGCTACTTACAGGTCAAGGACTTGGGATTGCAAATAGTGCCATGGAGACAATGAAAATTCATGAAGAGAATCAGTCAAAGTTGCAGGTGATGTCCCAGAGTGAGATACTGCAGGAACAGAGGAAGCTGCTGGCACAGCTTGGTAAGCTTGATATCTTCCACTGACACTTCTGATGGCAAATTAATATAAAAAAAGTGATCTGTGTAAACAGCCCCTTATTCAGGTTGTTGTAAGGGGAAAAAATACTGTATACAAATGTGTTTTTTAGTTTGTTGGACATATAATATATACGTGTACTATTTGGTCCCTAACAAGCTAGTCTTCTGAATTATTATAATGTGCAACCGTGTTATTTGCAAACCCACTGTAGCATAGTAATTTTTTTTATCAATTATTTTTCATTTTGATATACCCTACCGTTCAAAAGTTTGTGGTCATTAAGATAAAAATAAAAATCAGTACTTTTATTCAGCAAGGATGCATTAAATTGATAAAAAATGACAGTAAAGACATTTATAATGCTAAAAATATTTTTATTTCAAGTGCTGGTCTTTGGAACTTTCTATTAGTCAAAGAATCCTGAAAAAATGTATCACGGTTTCCACACAAATATTAAGCAGTACAACTGTTATCAACATTGATAATGATAAGAAATGTTTGAGCACCAAAGCAACATATTAAAAAGAATTCTAAAGAATCATTTGACGCTGGAAACAGTAATGGTTTCTGAAAATTTAAATGGTAATACAATTTTGTATTACAGTTTTATTGTATTTTTGATCAAATAAATGCAGCATTGGTGAATATAAAACGTTTTTCAAAAACATAAAAAAAATCTTTTATAAAATTGTCCATAATTTGGCCTCCTGAACTTTCAGCATTTTCTGAAATTTAAGCAGCCTTCACTGACCATTTTGTTAACATTTTGTTTTGTTGATTTTATTTGTTTTATTTAAGTCTTTATTTTTAGACCCTATTTTTTTCCCAAAATGTTGAACATGTCTTCTGTAACTGTGACATTTTATTCGCTTCGCCCTCACATTGTTATATTATGTCAGACCCTAGATTAGTGGAATTTGTGAGATCTCGAAAGGCACAGAGAACACCAGGATCTGAGTCAGCATCTGGTCCTGTGCAAAGAGAAGACTTCCTGAATGAACCTCTGCCTAATAGCACTTCTCCAGAGTTAGACCACTCAATAAAAGCTCAGGAATCTCAGAGGGATACCATGGAGGATGATGAGGAAGATGAGAATCAGCTCGTAGTTCAAGCTCCAATTACAGGTAAGTAAGTTCAGAGCTTATTTGGCAGAAACAGATCACATCATATCTCAGCATTGTGAGTAAATGTTGTAAAAATGTTATTACACAGTAAACCTACATGTTTGTGATTTATTTGATACATACTGCTTAGTATTACAGCATTGCTTTAGTTTCATGAAGAAGGCTGAATGGGGTTTTTGGACTAATCTGCACGAATACAGCAT